ACTTGGTTAGATTTCTTTTTTTGCTTATCAATCATGTAGCCTACAGATACTATAAAGGAAATTCTATAAGTAATGAGGCAAACAAAAAATGGTAAAACATATGGTAAAAGTCAATCATGGGAAAATATTTTTCCATCCGCAAAAGGGATTTTTTTTGTCTCATACACCATAAAAAGAGAGACATATTAGGGATTAGATAGGAAATTGAAACTGCCATCACTGCACAAATTACAGAAGGAAGACACACAAAGGCTAGCTCTTTAACTTACAGTCATGATACTATCTAGATTTTGTTAGTCTCTAAGGTGCTACAGGACCATTTGTTGTTTAATTTTTTTATTTTAAGTTAAAAACACGGCTACCCTTCTGAGACTTTTAAAGGTGGTAATGTATCTAATTCTTTCTAAATGACACTGAACTAATCTCTGATTAAATCTTTGATTAAATAATTCCATTTGAGCTTGTGATTTGGCAATCTCAAATGGTTATTAAATTCAAACACGCAGCAGCAGCACAGACTGATTGTATTAGTAAACTGACTGATTAGCTACTGTAACTTGAGCTGATACATACATCTACTGCACTACTAGCTCCAGCAGCAGCATCACTTGCACTTCAACTCACTTCCTTGATAGGCCAAACAGATCAATTTTAAAACACCTCTTAATTCAAGCCAGTGGGTTTTGTATGAGGATGATGGGAATGAAGTTAGAGGCAATACCTATGCAGCGGCAGTCAAAAAAGCAAACAGAATGTTAGGAATCATTTAAAAAGGGATAGAGAATAAGACAGAACATTTTATTGCCTCTATATAAAACCATGGTATGCCCACATCTTGAGTACTGTGTATAGATGTGGTCACCTCATCTCAAAAAAAAAAGATATATTGTCATTGGAAAAAGTTCAGATAAGGGCAACAAAAATTATTAGGGGTTTGAAACAGGTCCCATATGAAGAGAGATTAATAAAATTATATATATAAATTTAAATTTAAAAAAACAATCTTTCTAAAAGCACACCAAAAGAATAAAAAAAGTGCACTAACAGGTCAAAAATACAGTTTTAAGCTAGCAATGTAGGAGAAAGATTGGATGGCTAACAGTTAGCAACTACCTGGAATCATACTTAGCTCAAACCACCAACCCTGCCCTCCCAGGCAAACACCGCTTCCTCTAGTCCACTCCAGAACCCAGAATGGCTGGCCTCGTTTGTATACATATATGCATGTGTTGAAAATCCCATGACAGACAGACAATAACGGTGGCCATTTAATAGAACGATTGTCTAAAAAGACTGACTTTTCAGGTTAGAAAAGAGGAGACTAAGGGGAGATATAAAGGTCTATGAAATCATGACTGATGTAGACAAAGTGAATAAGGAAAAGTTATTTATTTGTTCCCATAACATAAGAACTAGTGTCACCAAATGAAATTAATAGGTAACAGGTTTAAAACAAATGAAAGGAAGTTTTGCTTCACACAGTGCATGGTCGACCTGTGGAACTCTTTGCCAAAGGAGGTTGTGAAGACCAGGACTTTAACAGAGTTCAAGAAAGAGCTAGATAAATTCATAAAAGTTAGGTCCATCAATTGCGAGGATGGGTAGGTATGGTGTCCCTAACCTCTGTCAGAGGCTGGGAATAGGCGACAGGAGAGGGACAGCTTGAAGATTCCCTGTTCTGTTCACTCCCTCTGGGGCATTTGGCATTGGACGCTGGCAGAAGATAGGATGGTGGGCTACATGGACCTTTGGTCTGACCCAGTATGGCCGTTCTTATGTAACACTTGTATCAACTTCAGTAAATTGTGCTGCAATGACACATCCTTAGGGTTTTTTGAAATTTTTATATTGTAAATTATCCCAATTTCAAGTCACTAGCATGATGATGCAACCCTACAACATAGAGAAGGAAATAGGATTTGCATCAGCGGAGCATATTTTGGGGAAATGAGTGAAATTTAAGTTAAATTCCCATCAGTCAAGACCAACATCTTATTAAAGTTCAAGATTAGCTTCTCCTCTCCTGTATTTTCTTTTAAGTGAATTAAATTCTAAAATCTATATTTACAGCAGCATAAATATAGAAACACTAATTCATATATATTATTCTTTCTTTCACTAGTAATTAGAACTTGAAGAGTAGATGCAACATAGGGAAAAAAAGGTTTCTATGTGAACCTTGTTTTGCATGTTCTGTTTTTAAATATGTAACCTTAATATTGCATTACAATTAATTTTCTGAATTTAAATTTCAAAATAGGTAATAAAAATATATACTGTCTCTTCTGCAAATGAAATGTGTGTTGAATATATGCCAAGAATAACAAAGTAGCCCCAGAAACATAGTTTGTCCAAAAAAAATTGGACCCTGAAAAATTTAGGCACTGAAGTTAAACACTTTATATAAAAAATTCAGACATGGGTATCATACTGCAAATATATGAAGAGATATGTAAATTACAGCATGAATGTGCTCAAGAATAGGCACATTTCAGCTTCTTTGAGTTAACTACCAAATTCTCAGATGGGATAATGAAGATGCAAAGAATCTAAGGAGCACTACACACCTGATTTCTTTCGATTCTGCAGAGGTTTGGTCTTCAGAAAGGCTGGATTTGCATTTTCTGTAGACGAGTAACTTTCTGCAGGTGATGAACTCTGGCCATAAAGCACCTGTTTTCACTGCAAAAGTGTGGGGCAACCTGATTAGCATATGCAGGGAAACAGGAATTTGCAATAAGATATGCCCTGCCTTCTTTCTGATTCTTTTTAATAATGAGGGTGAAACAAGATTATATTTAAGTGAAAAGACGTTAAGCAAATATCCGTCTGGAAGTAGTCAGGATCCTTGTGTTATTCAGCAAAGGGAATATTAACATAATTTGTATTGGATTAATACTCAGAGGCCTCAATCCTAAAACATGACACCATATTTTTTTAAGAACCAATAAAAAGACTCAGAAACTCCTACTTCTTGATATACATATTTAGCCTGTTTACGAACCCCATTTATATAATTTCCTTTACAGTATTTAGTAGAAGGCAGTAACATGCACTCAGAATGTGAGGTTGTCATCTGTGCTTTAGGATTTAACATCACAAAGGAAAGATATGTACTTAGATATAAAAAATTAAGCACAATAGACCCTCACTAACTTGCACTTTGTTAAACTGCACAGCCACAAATGGAAAGTAGACTTCCAAGTTTGCTTGAGGACGACAGAGGCTCTGATGATGGGAAAGTTGCCTCCCTGTGGATAGCTATAGGAACACAGTGTCACATAAAGATGACCTCTTACTAACATATCAAATGCATGGAAGGAAATTAGAGTACCTGCAGATGTTCCTTATGCTACTTCACTGGTGCACGTTCTCAGTGCTCCCACAGATCAAGCAAAAAGATTAAAGGCAGCTTAATTTACCCAGTCACAGAAAATAAAAGAGGAAATTATAGCACTCTACAATTTTCCACTATAATTCAGTTAACACATCCCTCCTTTCTTCCACAGCCAAACCAAAGCTCTGGCACTTGCACCAAGACAGCAGCAGAAGCAGTAGTAATAGTAGCAGCAGCATTGACTGATAGTTTTCAAGATAAGGCATGTTAAGAAGTCCTTCTATGTGCCCACAAAGATCATCTCAAGTTGCTGATCCTATTCCCAGCTCTCAGTAATCAGCACTAAGATAGTGGGATTCAATGATGTAAATGATAAAGCAATCAATTTTTTTTTTTTTGGGGGGGGGAAGGGGAGGAGGAACCAAACCAGATACACTTACAGAAGTGGCCAGAAAAACAATGCAGAACAAACATTTGCTAGTTTGCTTATGTGATTGTCTCATAAGACTGTGTCTAAAGCCTTACTAAAATCAAGATGTATCACAGGCATGCTTCCTCCCCACTCAGGAGGCTAGTAATCCTGTCAAAGAAGGAAACTAGGTTGATTTGACATTTTTTTGAACAAAACTACGCTGGCTTTTCATTGTGTGCTACTATGCTCTAGATGCTTACAATAATCTGATTGCTTACTAATTTGTTTCAGGATTTTTCCAGGTATCAAAATTAAGTTGACTGGCCTATAATTCCCCTCAAGTACCAGAAGTCAGGGTGATAATTAAAGAGGAAAGAAACTGATGGATGTTCTTTGTACATTTTTTTTAAAAAAAGAACTGACATCAGAAAGAAAAGTAAATTGTTGTGAAAGGAGCTAGAAATCAAGCCCTTAGATTTATTTCTCATTATGTAGCAACCACCACAATCTCCTAACACTGACCATCCCAAAACACAGAATGCATCTGTAAATAATGTCTTGGCAGTCTGAGATTCTTACACATAAAACAAAAGAAAGCCATTACAAACATTAACAGATTTCATGTGGACTTAACCACTTAAGCTACCTAAAAAGGCATTCTTGTTCCTGAATGAAAGTGTCCACATGGGGAGTTAAGCCAGTATAATTATAGCATAATAACTGTAATAATTGTAGTTCTGCTGGTGAATTTTCCCATGTACACAATCCTTATACTTTCCTAGCAATTCAGCAAGATGCGCACATACACCATTACTTCCTAAAAATAAAAATAATGGAGATTGCCTATCTCCTAGAACTGGAAGGGATCTTGAAAGGTCATAGAGTCCAGTCCCCTGCCTTCACAGCAAGACCAAGTACCATCCCTGACAAATTTTTGCCCCAAATCCCTATCTGGCCTCCGCAAGGTTTGAACTCACAACCCTGGGTTTAGCAGACCAATGCTTAAACCACTGAGCTATCCCTCTCCCAAAAGCAACAACATGGTAATTAAAATAATATATAACTAATCTAATACAAAATGTGTAGCTGCCCACACTGCTGTCCATTGAAGAACAACCCACACAATCTGCAGCAACAGCTGAAAGTTTACATATATGGTCCAAGTTCGTGCATTTTTCTTTAAGGAAACAAGTAGAAATTATTGATTTTTTGAAATGCCATCAAAAGTTAAACACACAATTAGCTTCTGACCTTTTGATATTTCTGCCACCATTGATGTATGTGTTGGTCCTGCCATGTTGTGGGTTTGGAAGAAGGAAATATGTGGCATCTGTTGAGAGATTCCAGCTGTACTGCTGACATAGTTGAAGGTAGCACTCGCTCAGGAAGGATCTGTACTTTAGCCTGTTGGATGCTGATCAAGGAAGAAAAATCATGAACGTATTAGAAGGACAACAGTTTGGATTCCACCACCTATATAATTACGTACAATAGAACAAACCTTGATGTAGCACTGTAATACTTTCACATTTAATGAAATGGCTTCGTGTTTGAAGTTACTTAAGTCTAACTTGTATAAATTAAATTATTGCTGTGATTACACAGCATAGAATTTATGTATCTGAAAGTAAACAGAACATAGATTAAGGTATCTCACATCTTTGCTATATTTATTTCAAAAAGTGTGGTCCACTGAAATTTGTTCAGATAATAAACAACCAGAAGCACCTCTATGTGCTGAGCGTATCCCACATTTTCAAAACAACATACTGAATAAAACATCACTGTTTAGGAATAGTTGTTTCTTAATCTCTGGTTTTTGTTTTTCTTTATAATTAATAAATATTCCTTTATCAGATCTTTTTATGCAAGAATATTAAACTAGCAGTCAATTAATAGATATCAAATTCTTAGAAAGGAAGTTTACTTTCTTTAAACCCCAAATCTTCTGTGAAGAGCTAGATCTCAAAATCAGCAGAAAGAGGATAAACTGTATCTTTTAATACTGTACTTATACACCAAATCACCTACTCCCTAAGAAAATTAATGTACTAAAAAAAAAAAAAAACCTACCAGGAATACTGTTTAGAAGAGAAGTATTGTATACATTGTATTCTCTTAACAGTGCCATGCATCAAGAATGCTAAAATATTACATATTAGCTTAGACGCTGATTTGAAATAACATGTGGAATCACACAAGAAAAACATGGGACTTAAGTTTCTGCTTCTTTTTCTAGTATATTTAATGTGTATTTTCCCATTGCACATTTTAGGAGTAACTGATGCCTTGACCTACAAATGCAGATTATATTACAAAGTGATATTTTACTGTTTACTGCAGATAAATAATAGGAAGAAAGTGAGCAATATGAAAAAGAATGGCACCCATTAGTTTGAGATAGTCACTTAACATGACAAAATAACAGAGCAATTTAAAATGTTCAAGAGAAATATACTTAGGTAACCTTTGATTTTTAACTGTGGTTCAAAAGTCATACTGGGGAAGTTTAATAGAGCACACTGGAGTTATTAACTATGTATACATTGCAGATACTGTAAATGCAGGGAACAGTTTCAAATATGAGAATGCCTCCCCAACCATGCAATAAAACTAAATGAGTGTTGGAAACTATATTACAAGATCTGAAAAATAACACCAATAAATGTAATCTTTAAAAACTTTTACGTTTTAGAAACTTAAAACACAAAGTTCCTTAAGATTTCACATTTTCTTGATTCATATTATGCTGTTGATTTTAGAAACTTAACACACAAATTTCTTTAAGATTTCACATTTTCTTGATTCATATTATGCTGTTGAAATCCAAATCACATGTAGACTGTAATTATCATAATAAATCACTCTCTCAGCAGAATAAAACAATTGTATCTTTACCACCTTCAGATATTCAATTTTCATAACTACAGTAGCAATCATATCTATTAACTGTGTACTGCCATCTTGTGTTCAAACAACAACTTTGTTGTTTCAATATTCAAATGATCAGGGCTCGACAATTAGTGTAATCTACTCGCCGGTGGCGAGAAGATTACAAGCCGGCACAGCCGCGCAGCGCGTGCAGCGCATGCACAGCGTGCCGAACCATGCAGCTGGTGAGCAGAGCTCGCCGCCACTTGGCGAGCCCTGCAAATGATAAGTGACAGATAAGCAAACCCATTAGAAGGCTCAGCAGTACTGGCCTTTGTAAATGGCAACACATTATTTATTTTTTTATTTAAGATTACTATAAAGTAACAGCATGATTAGTTAATTAAATACCTCAATTAACTGATATTCTAATGTGTCTTTTTTAAAAACAGAATGTTGGTGCACTGAACACTGAAACCAAACATTTATGTTGCTCCTTTTACGCAGGTGGAGAGGAATCTCATTTCTAAATGTAAATTTTTAAATGAAAACATTATGGTACCGCCCATAGTACTCAGTAGGGATCACAAAGCACTCTATAGCAAAGTACAGTCTCTCCCAGGTGATTACATTTTAAATAAAAGATCCAACAATATAGAACATAACAGAAGGAGAAAGGGGAAAACATAGGTGACAGTACCAGGTATACATGGATGACCATACCAGAAACACAAGGTTACATATACTCTCAACAGAGTATACAACTTAAAAGTGTCTAATATTCAGTGACAATAAAAGATTTCCCACCATTACAGGTAAAATGTGGCATTGGGAAAAACAAATTTTCTTCAAAGAGAAAAGCAGTGTCACATATTTTACAAAACAGTTACAAAAAATAATGGAAGTCAATAATTTTGCTGTACACAAAGATACACATGTTGTCTATTTTCTTACCCATCTGATTGGGTTCTTATTTCAAGCACTTTGAATCTCTGTCTTCCCACTGCTTTCACTTTCACTGTTTCAATTCCAAACTCCTGTTCTTCTCGGTAGGCATATATTTCAGCTGTTGTTCCAAAATGTGCTTCCCTTTCACGTATATTGGGGGAGGAGAGAAGAGTATAAGATGCGTGTTACCTACTCTACAAATTACACTGTTCATACAATTTCCAATAACCCTCCCCCCTCAATTTTTCACTCATTCATCACTTTCTAAAAAGTCTCCTTTAGAGCTAAAAATATCCCTGCTTTGTCTCAACTTACAAAACAACAAATAGTCTTGCAGCATCTTAGGGTACGTCTAGACTACATGGCTCCGTCGACGGAGCCATGTAGATTTGTTTGTTCGGCAAAGGGAAATGAAGTTGCAATTTAAATAATCGCGGCTTCATTTAAATTTAAATGGCTGCCCCGCTCTGCAGATCAGCTGTTTGTCGGCAGTCTGCACACTCCCCTGTCGACATGAAAGCCCTTTATCGACCTCCCCGGTAAACCTCATCCTACGAGGCATAATGGGGAGGTCGATAAAGGGCTTTCAGGTCGTC